AAGAAAATGTGGTAGTAGGTGTAGTGGAGGTGATAGTGGGTTAGGTGAAGTGGAGTGTGTGGTGAAGTGGAGGTAGGTGAAGTGGAGTGTGTAGTGGAGTAGGTGAAGGTAAAGATGGGAAGAAATTTAATGTATAAAGAGAAATGATTGTATTATTAATTGATATATATTGATGTCTATTACAATGATTCGTGATTCCTATATATAGAAGAGGGTGAGTGTGTAGTAGGTAAGGAGTAGGTGAAGTGGAGGTGGTAGTGGTGTAGTGGGTTAGGTTTAGTGGAGTAGGTGAGGTGGTAGTGGTGTAGTGGGTTAGGTTTTGTGGAGTAGGTTTAAGTGGGTGAAGGTTGTGATAGGTTTTAACAGCCCCCCGCAAACTCAAGGGGGATAGGAACTAACCAACTTGAGTTTGGAGAGAATAACAAAACAAGAAAATACATAAAAATAAAAGAGGATAAGAGACACTGTATGGTCGTGTCAGACCATTGGTGAAGACAATTCCTATACAATCTATATATAGAAGAAAATGTGGTACAATCTATATATAGAAGAAAATGTGGTACAATCTATATATAGAAGAAAATGTGGTACAATCTATATATAGAAGAAAATGTGGTACAATCTATATATAGAAGAAAATGTGGTACAATCTATATATAATTACAATTCCTATACAATCTATATATAGAAGAAAATGTGGTAGTAGGTGTAGTGGAGGTGATAGTGGGTTAGGTGAAGTGGAGTGTGTGGTGAAGTGGAGGTAGGTGAAGTGGAGTGTGTAGTGGAGTAGGTGAAGGTAAAGATGGGAAATTCTAACATCTAGAAAGTAGACAATAAAAGTTAAAAGAGATTTGAGGCAAGGGAAGTACAAGCCACAAACGAATTAAATTTCTTGGAAACACAAAATTTAGCAAAATACTTATTTCAAATCAGATTTACACTGGAGGGATTCAGTTTGGTTTGACTTTCAAATATCCCCCGAATGAAAGCTGTCTTATTACCACATCTGCAGTGTGTCCTCTCAAAGTCATGGCAACCTTCCAGTTCTCAATATCTGGTGGCTCTCCGCTACCAAATTCAGTAGTTCCTGAACCAGGCTTCCTCTCATGAATTAGAATCACCTGGTCATCAGACCCTGAGGCAATGTACCGACCATGCTTAGCCCACCTAACACAGTTAACAGACCCAAAATGATCGCGAAGGGTTGCAAGAAGTTTTGGTGTTGATTCATCAGTTTCCAAATCGCGGCCTACAGATTTCATATTCCATATCCGAACCTGCTTGCCAAAAAAAAAGTAGAAATATAAAATCTTTCATAATATTATAGACACAAAACATAAGAACTAGAAGTCCTGATCCTTGAAAGTCCTATAATGACATGAATTAATTGAGTTGCGTTGCAACTACCATTAAGTTATATTTTCAAATGTATGAAGTTTCAAATTGTAACTGTTTGCTAATATATAATTGTTCAAAGAGTACTCACAATAATCACAATATTTATAATAGCATGTCAAAAAGAACATTCGTGTTTAAGAAAGAAGACTTTAGAAATTGAAAAAGAGAGATACTTGGTGGGATACATGATTCTACAATACCAGAGTATCATGCAAGTATTGCCTAGTGTTGGATTAGTGGGTGAACTTTGGGTTTCAATAAACATGAAATCCGTGTACAGTTCCTACAAGTTGCATTGTCCCTTATATGCTAAATTTTAGTAGGAAACTAGGGTTTGAAGCACAATCATTCAGTTCAGAGCAAAAAGTTCAAGACGGTACATATCAGTTCAAGCATTCGTGAGTAATGCAGATTGAAACAGAGAAATCACAAGGACACATTTGATGGACGGACACAATTAAAAAACAATAACATTCAAGTACAATTGAAGGCCGTGCCAACAAGTGAAATTCTATTCTGTCATTGAAGAATGAAAATACATAACTTCAAAAATAATAATTCCTTTTCTTTCCTGTGTTTCTTAACAACCAAACAGCACAAAAACTAAACAAAACAGACCCAAGAGCTTGAACAAAAAAAAAAAAAAAAAGATACACAACCTTGTGATCACCACCACCAGTGGCGAACCTAAGCCCGCCAGGTTGAATATCAATGGAGAAAATCTGCATACCCTCATGCCTAATCCAACTGGGTTTCTCTGCAATCATTGTTCTGAGACCTAACTCAGACTTCAAATCAATTGAAAAGGGTATGTAAATTCATGGCTCTGGAACCCAATAAACCACAGATGGGTACCAGAACTCAAAAGCCCTAATTTTGGAACAACACTCTCTGATGCTGCTCTGACAAAAACCCTAGCAAGTTAAACTTGAACAAGAAGATTAAAAATGCTGAAGATTAAAAATGCAAACTTTTTTTTCTTTCAATTCTACTACTGGAAGTGCAAATGTTGAATGCGAAATAAAGACGGATTAGGGAAAAAGGATATAAAGGGACAATAGATTCGTAATCTATAGTACATGGGAAATTCTATATGGACTTTGGTTACCACATTTGTCTTTGATTTGGTTATGAATTACATTATAATATTGATTATTACATTATTTTAATTATAATTTAATATTATTTGGTAATATCTATGTTCGGTTTAAAAAATAAAAATTAATTTTTATTATGACTCACGTAATGTTTATATCATAACATTACAGTACATATAATTTGTAAAAATGTGTCCGATGGCTTGCTAAACCTGTCCGTGTTTTGGATTTAAAATTATGATGCAAACTTATAGGACTAGGTTGAGCAAATTTTGCAGATAACCAATTTTGTCAAGAGTATTTCCACGCTAATTCGACTCAACTCATTTACAAACTATATTATATATTTATTATATGTTTACATTACTTAATTTTTATTTTTATAAGTATGAATTATGTATTATTTCATGAATAAAAAAAGTGCAAGTTACGGATAAATCCTGAAATGTGAAAAGGTGGTCCATGTAGTCCTGGAATATATTTATTTGGAGTTTCTATTTGCACACACTATATCCTCTTTTCTCACACACTTAATGAGAGAGTGTGTTAAAGAGTTGTGTGTGGAGAATGTGTATAGAGAGAGGTGTGTGTAAATAGATGCTCTCATATTTATTAGTCTGTTTGGTCCTACTACATGTGTGTTTACTAAAGTGCCCTCTTTATATGTTGATGGTATGTCGTTTGTTGTGGGAGGTGTTTGGGTGTCACGTTGGAAAAAATGCTATAGTAGCTTTTATTGGTTGGCACATGTGTGACGGTGTTACAGCGTACCCGTTGCAACCCAACCCGTCGTTTGTGCCTGTTTGTGTAGTATGGCATCCCCAATTTGGGTCACTCAAATTTTGGAACCGGAAGGTCGGCAAATCCCTTCGATTTTGCAATTGCCGTTATTGTGATTTTGTTTTGAACGGTTGTATGAATCTTAGGGGTTTGGTGTTTTGAAATTGATTGACGTTGGTGACGATTGATTGTGAGGTGGTTGTAGGTATTTTGGGTTTTTGTGGTTGTAGACGTTTGTTAAGGCTTACATTGTACGATGATGATTTTTTTTACGGAAGGCTGACATAATGAATCGATCAACCTGCGAAATTGACACACAAGCGTAAGTGATATTCCTTGAACCTTCATTTTCGTAGGGTTAAACGCTGGGGTTTCAACGTACGTATATCACATATAAGAGTTTGGGTGATGCTTGTGTGAGAGGTGTGTGGCACTCGAGTGTGTGTGGGGTGTGTCTATGTTTTTTTGGACTGTTCGATTGTAAACATATGTGTGTTAAAACGGAAACTAATGAAAACAAATCATCGGCACTACGCCGTAGACAGTATACCTGACAACAACCGACAATGGCAAAACTGATTGCACCCTTTACAGAAAACTCTGTCTACGATTTTGAAACAATAATACAATCACCCCTATATCAACCCCATTGTGTGCCGACTATGGTAATCAAATCTTCAACAATATTCCCCTCCAAACACAATCACATATCGACGTGATTGGCAGATGTGATCCTTGAAATTGTGTGACCTAATAATGTAAGGGCACAATCGTCAACATAAAGTCAAATTCAAATCAAAATAGGACCAACCGGTTACTCTATTACCACTAATAGGATTTGCTAGTGCACATGAAAATTGGTGGGACTAAATAGTGCCACTGATTCTGTTATGGGATTTTTGAATAATTTTCCTATTTTATTTTCAAGCCCATTCAAAAATAAAATAAAAAGATTTCAAATCGCCGAAATATTATTATATAAATTTTGAATTTTCATATTTTAAAATAAAAATTATAATTAATTTAATCAATTTGACGTCTTTTTAATTTATTCAACGTTGGTAGTTCAAATTTTATAACTAATTTTTTTAGGGAAAATTATCCAAAAATCCCATAACAGAATCAGTGGCACCATTTAGTCCCACCAATTTTCATGTGACTAGCAGATCCTGTTAGTGGTAACAGAGTAACCGGTTGGTCCTATTTTGATTTGAATTTGACTTTATGTTGACGGTTGTGCCCTTTACATTATTAGGTCACACAATTTCAGGGATCACGTTTGCCAATCACGTCGATATGTGATTGTGTTTGGAGGGAAATCTCATCAAAAATTTGATTACCATAATCGGCACACAATGGGGTTGATATAAGGGTGTTTGTATTATTGTTTCAAAATCGCAGACAAAGTTTAGTTCCTGTAGGGGGTGCAATCAGTTTTTCTGTTGCCAGTTCTCGTCAGGTATACTGTCAATGGCGTAGTGCTGATGATTTGTTTTCATTAGTTTCCGTTTTAGCATTTCGTGTTTCATTATACTATTGGGTGGGGGGAGTTGTGGGGGTTTGACATTAAATTGTGTATGACGCACACACGTTTGTATTACAGATTTATTGTTTCGTATCCAACATTCTACTTAGGTGGGTATGTTCTGTTGTAGGGATGGACGCCATTGTCATGTTATTGTGCTGTTACCCGACAACAAATGTCGCATACAACCTGATAGCATTGTATACGTTCAAAGATCTTGTCAATTTCCTGTGCGACAAATTTGTTGGACTGACACCGGCCAATGTTTGTTTGTTCTTCAAGATCTTGGGGTACAACAGTTTCCCATTGTAAAATGAAGTAGACATGCAAAATATGGTTTACCTTGCACACTCGTTCCGTTTTCAATTAATCGATGTTATAATTAAGGCACGTAATGGTGAAAGTATAGTATCCAACGATGATGGTGGGTGTGACAGTCCACATTTCTAAACCAATGGCTTCAAACGGGGGGGTTAGTATTATGGCTATGGAATATGATGTCGACTTATTGCCCATCTATTGTCCACATGACGAAGAGACTTTCTTATCAGCACCATGGGCTAACGGTATTACTCATGTGGGATAGAGTTTTGAAGGGGGTGTGCGGGATTTCCGGACAGTCCTTTGCAAATATGCAGTGAAGTATGGGTTCAACTTTAAATACTTGAAGAACGACTCGGCCCAGATTATTGTCGTATGTTCATTGCGTGTCTCGTCGAAGGAGTGTGATTGGTTTGTGTACGCGTAAGTGTTGGATGCTAATGGGTTTTTCTACATTCGGAAATAGAATAGTGAGCACAGTTGTGGGGTTGCTGTTCGTACAACGAAGAATAACTGTCTCAGGTCAGATCTTGTCTCTGACATTTTCTCACAACATTTACGCGACAAGCCTCTCACCAGGCCGACTGATGTTGCTTTCGATCTGAAAAAAAATTACGGGCTTAAGATAAGTTACCGTGTTGCTTGGTTAGGTGTCGAAAAAGCTAGGGGCGAGTTTTTTGGTGCCCATTCCGCCTCGTTCAACCAATTACATTGGTACAACAAGGCCGTAATGGAACACAACCCGGGTACGTACATCAACATTGACTATGACGAACATGACAACCGATTTGAACGGTGCTTCATATCACTCAAGGCATGCATTGATGGATTCAAACATTGTCGCCCATTATTTTTCCTAGATGGCAACTTCTTGAAGGGAAGGTTCAAAAGGGAATTTACTTGTTGCCACTACTAAGGACGGAAACCGAGGTAATTAACACACAACTCCACTATTTATTTTGCACAATATATCAACATTTGGTTATTATCACACATGTGGCATTGGTTATTCCAACAAATTTAGTTAACACGTTGCCATCTAGGTTTGTTCCCAATTGCATTTGTGATCGTTGGCTCGGAGAACACAACAAACTGGTCATGGTTTTTGCAGCACCTTCGGAGCGCACTAGATGAGGATAGGATGTTGACGCTCATTTCAGACCGACGCGTTGAACTCATTGAGTAAATGCCCATTATATTCCCCACTGCTCACCATGCATTCTGTTTGCAACACTTGTAATGGAACCTAAGGGACAAACTTAAATATATGAACAATTGGCACAGGATTGGGTTGATCGCTAAGTTCAACAACTTTGCGTATGCCCCAACAGCTACCGTATTTGAGGATATGGTTGGAAAATTCACCAAATCCGGAAAGGCAATCGCTACCGATTTTCTCTAAGATCTCCCTCCCCAACATTGGGCTAACGCTTATTTTAGGTGCGTAACAACTTCATATTCCACTTATATAATTTGGTTTTAACCTACCCCATACCCCCATCACACACGTTACACCTACATACATTATCCTCACATTGCTACTGTCATGTAACGTAGGGATAACTATTATGGCGAGATGTGTTCAAACGCCGCCGAGTCCTTTAATAACTGGATATCTGCTTCCCCCCACCTCCCAATAACCAGATTGGTTAACAGTATTCGAACACAAATCATGTGACAAATGTCAGAACGTCGAGATGCTTCACAAAAATGGGCTGGTGTGATATGTTCGAAAATGGAAAAGCGATTAGAAAAGGCGTACAATACCAACAGGTCATGGAATATAAGCCAATCAAACACCGACGTGTACAAAGTCCCCTCAAGCCCGTCAGTCCTGGTAGACGTTACCCGATGCACATGTTCATGTTTTCAGTGGCAGCTTAACGGGTTGCCGTGTGCCCATGCCATAGTTACATCACGCAGAAGTGGAAGAGATTTGTGCTCGTTAATCAAGCTGTATTTCCATGTATCAGAATATCGGTTGTCGTTCTCCCCTAGCATAACACCAATACCAACTGTGGAACAACCTCAGTTCACTAGCCACGACTATATCATATTGCCACCCGCCATGAAGCGACCACTCGATAGGCTGAAGAAAAAGAGGATACCATTACGTGGGGAGGAAGTGCAACCGATCTGTTGCAGCAGGTGCGGCTGCATAGGAAACCACAACAGGAAGACTTACAAAGAACCAATCTAGCATATTAAACCACCTCTTGGGGGGTTCACTATTTATTAAGTTATGTTTCACTTTCAATTAATAAGCATTGGGGGTAGACATGCTTTCCCATGAACTCATTTCATTTTTCTAAGTAATTCTGTGGTTTTTACAGTGATCCACATTGCTATCAATTTAATAATAACTTAGTACCATGTTTG